AGAGAGACCAGAGAGAGAGACCAGAGAGAGAGACCAGAGAGAGAGACCAGAGAGAGAGACCAGAGAGAGAGATTAGAGAGAGAGACCAGAGAGAGACAAGAGTGACCAGAAAGAGACCAGAGAGAGACAAGAGTGACCAGAGAGACCAGGGAGAGACCAGAGAGAGAGAGGGATTAGAAAGAGACCCGAGAGAGACCAGAGAGAGACCAGAGAGAGAGACCAGAGAGAGAGATCAGAGAGACCAGAGAGGGACAAGAGTGACCAGAAAGAGACCAGAGAGAGACCAGGGAGAGTCTGGAGAGGGACCAGAGAGAGACCAGAGAGAGAGACCAAAGAGAGAAACAGAGAGAGAGAGAGAGATTAGAGAGAGAGACCAGAAAGAGACCAGAGAGAGAGAGAGAGATTAGAGAGAGAGACCAGAAAGAGAGAGAGAGACCAGAGAGAGAGACCAGAGAAAGCAGAGTAAAAGCAGTGAAATGTTGCCTTGGAGAATGAAGGCTGTGATGCAGAAACATTTGGCATTTGGAAAGAAAACTGCGGTGTGCGTTCATCCCTGTTTTCTGTTTGATTTTGAAGGAGGAGATTAGAAAAGGTGAAAACGATGTGAAACAGTTGGTTGTGCCAATGAGCTCATGTGTAAAGGCGTTTATAACACTAGAACTCCCAGAGCAGTCAATTTGACGGCTTGTAGTTTTGGAAGCGTTATGACCCAGCTAATGTACATTTTGGTCTTCGTAACTTGTGAATTGTTCTGTATCTGAGCTAATGTGTCTCTGTAATTACTTACTCATGACACTATTCATTTTAATTGAATGGAATTAATACATATGTCTTGCTATATTTCAGGTTTACCAGTTTTAGCACTTATTAAATAAACACATTTGGAGTCTCTGCGGTGTGCATTGAACTAGAACAATTTTCTGCTTGATTTTGATGGAGGAGATTACCCTGGTCGTACCACACCATAGTACTGATTACATTTCATACTAAGGTCTGGATTTGCTCCATTGACTCCGTGAACAGGTGGGAGGGGTTAACTCTTTTTGCAGATTGAAACGATTGGATCGGAGTTTATTGTGACGTATGTAGTGCGCCCGAGTCTGTTGTTAGCATTAGCATTTAGCCTAGCTTTAGCCATCTCCTTTGCCGCTAACGGAGCCCGTGGGGAGTAGTCCCACAATTTTTTCCAGCAATTACATTTACTAAACATTCCTCTTGCTCCGGCTTCAATTTCTTGACAGACCGGATTACTTTACTATCGCATTCTTCGCCAAACTACGACCTTCCTGTTCGACACAAACTCTTGACATCACCCACATCTAACTACAACACCCGCCTCCCGCGCTCTCTGATTGGTCGGTCGAAATTCAATCGCAAACACAGGGACCAGACCCAGACGTTACATGCAGGACATGATGATTGAACGGAGAGTACGGATGGATAAGGCCAGACTAGGCGCTGGGAGATTAGGAGATTAGAAAAGGTAATAATTCGGTATGAAAATAGTTTCTAATGAATTGAATTTGATTGATCAGAGAGTTTCAGAATCCTGGGAGTCTGTGAAAGAAGACACTATTCTTTTGGCATTTAACTGTGAATTTCCTGTTATGGTTCAAAAGGTTGGGCCCCTGACCAGCCTGAGTTTGACACCCCTGCTGTTCTCTGTGTGGATATCAGGTTATTATAATGAAATAAGGTTTTCTGATAGAATCTTACCCAAAGGCAAATATACTACAATTATACCATTAGTTTACCTCAGAGGACTAAACAGAATCATCAAAGTCACCAACACAGATCAGAGAATCAAACCGTTCAAACACATAAAAGATTTGACCACACTGAGAAAGGTCCTGTTCCGACTGGGATTCGAACTCAGGATCTCCTTGCTCGGCGAGAGTTCTATCCACTCGGTATTGGTCCAAAAGGGGCAGAGACCAACCAACATGAATAATAATGTTTAAAAATGTTTTAGAATGTAGAGTGTCTGGCTGTAGATCCAGGACTGAGGCTGTAGATCCAGGACTGAGGCTGTAGATCCAGGACTGAGGCTGTAGATCCAGGACTGAGGCTGTAGACCCAGGACTGAGGCTGTAGATCCAGGACTGAGGCTGTAGACCCAGGACTGAGGCTGTAGATCCAGGACTGAGGCTGTAGACCCAGGACTGAGGCTGTAGATCCAGGACTGAGGCTGTAGACCCAGGACTGAGGCTGTAGATCCAGGACTGAGGCTGTAGACCCAGGACTGAGGCTGTAGACCCAGGACTGAGGCTGTGTGCTCCTCATTCCTACTGTTCTGTAACTGCTCATGCAACACTGACATTTCCCACTGTGGGACGAATAAAGTATCTCTAAATCTCTAAATCTCTAACGGACAGAGACCCCAATCCATCTTTGTGTTTTGTACAAATATAATCATAACACAGTTCAGAAACAAATCATTTCCTTGGATTATGGTGACATTGAAACTGACCCTTTTAATCCTCAAAACTTGTTCCGTGGAAAATGGAGTCCATGTTAGAGCTTACGTCTTTATCTGTTTATTTTATCACACACTCACAACAGTCACCGCTGTGTGTGTGTGTGTGTGTGTGTGTGTGTGTGTCTGTTGTGGTTTATTTTGTGTTTGTGAAGCACTTTCAGCTGTTGTTGTAAATGTGCTATACAGATAAAGCCGACGGACGCAATTATAATAAAATCTGCATAAATAAAAAGAAAAACTCAAAGTAATGATAATTCACTCACTCTTTCACCGCTCACGCCATGGACAGATGCCAACGACTCTACTCTACTCTACTCTACTCTACTCTACTCTACTCTACTCTACTCTACTCTACTCCACTCTACTCTACTCTACTCTACTCTACTCTACTCTACTCTACTCTACTCTACTCTACCCCACTCTACTCTACTCTACCCCACTCTACTCTACTCTACTCTACTCTACTCTACTCTACTCTACTCTACACTACTCTACTCTACTCTACCCTACTCTACTCTACTCTACTCTACTCTACTCTACTCTACTCTACTCTACCCCACTCTACTCTACTCTACTCTACTGTACTCTACTCTACCCCACTCTACTCTACTCTACTCTACTGTACTCTACCCCACTCTACTCTACTCTACTCTACTCTACTCTACTCTACCCCACTCTACTCTACTCTACTGTACTCTACTCTACCCCACTCTACTCTACTCTACTCTACTCTACTCTACTCTACTCTACTCTACTGTACTCTACTCTACTGTACTCTACTCTACTGTACTCTACTCTACCCCACTCTACTCTACTCTACTCTACTCTACTGTACTCTACTCTACCCCACTCTACTCTACTCTACTCTACTCTACTCTACTGTACGCTACTCTACTGTACTGTACTCTACTGTACTCTACTCTACTGTACTCTACTCTACCCCACTCTACTCTACTCTACTCGCCCCAGATTGGGAGCGTTTCCCTGTTTAAACGGTTCCAGGTCCGTCTTTAGTCCCTCTTGGTCCTGGTTCTATCCAGGTACGAAAGGCCTGGTACTAGAGTGTTCTAACTGACAGAGATTGGTCAGAGTACTGATGGAAGCCATGGTTACCAAGGAAATTCCCCATATATTGGTTTGTTGTGGGTACGTTGCTAGGATAATGTCCCAGATGCTAAAGCTTAATTGAAAGTAGAGTAGAACCAAGTACGCCTGGTGGAAACTTCAATTCAATTAATTCTTGTATAGCCCTAAATCACAGTATTTATCTTTAGGCCTTTACAAAGTTGTTGATTCGCCAACACAGATCAGAGAATCAAACAGTTCAAACACAGGGAATGCAATGATAAAGGCGCGAATAACACACTTCTGCTAATGCCACTTTATATATACAGTAATTCCATATACATAATAAAGGTAAAATCCTGCTTTAGGATTCTGTCGGCTGCTATCGAGACGAGGAAACGGGTACACACACAAATGTCTGTAAAAAACGCACAATGTCCGACTGTGCTACACTTCATCAACTATTCATGCAGTCCACCCTCCGGTCGTTTCAGACCATTTTTCCATCTTTGCTAAAAACAACACATGCTCCGCGCACACTCATCCATTGACTTTAGCTGATTCTGGAGCAGAGCCAGACTTCCCATCAGCCCCAGGGCCCCGTCATCTGCTGCTGTGGCCCATCTTCCCAAAATGATCCAGGGAGAGGCCGGGGAGACTCCAGAGAGAAAGCATGCTAAACAGCCCCAGACGCTCCGTTAGCAAAAGCATTAGAGACGAGATAAAAGAGACGAGATAAAAGAGACGAGATATTAGAGACGAGATATTAAAATTGTGTTCTGCAACTACTAACTAGCAAACTAGCTAACTAACAAGCTAACTAGCAAACAAACTAGGTAACTAACAAACTATGTAACTAACAAATCAGAAAACGAACAAACTAGCCAACTAGCTTACTAGCTAACTAAAAAGTAGCTTACTATCTCACTAACAAACTAACAAACTAGAAAACGAACAGACTAGCAAACTAAAAAACCAGCTAACTAACCAACTAGGGCTGGGCAATAAATCGAATTTTGGCAATTAATCGGCTTTTGAAAAAATCAAATTTGTAAAAAGTGTTAAAATCGTGAAATCGAATGAAGGATATTGTGAGAGTTCCAGCAGCACATTAATCATATTTGCAATATCAGCACAGTCTGTACAAGACTTTTATTATATGTATTGAGGGAAACAAATTAGAAATAGTTTTGAAAGTTG